CTCATTTAATGTAACCCTCTTTCTATCATTATGTATAACTTTGTATCTTCAGATATTTCTATATATCTGCTAGACTGTGTCTCAAACCCTAGAGGAGCGGTGGGGTAGCCTAGTGGTTAAACCGTTAGCTCATCACGCCGAAGTCCCGGTTCAAATCCCCACATGGGTACAATGTGTGGAGCCCATTTCTGGTGTCCCCCTCTATGATATTGCTGGAATATTGCTAAAAGCAGCGTAAAAAACCCAGTTCATTCACTCAGAGAATAAGTATTGTTAGTTGTTCAACACCACACTCAGCAATACTCCAGCTATATGGCAGATGTCTGTAAATAATCGAGTCTGGACCAGACAATCCAGTGATAAGTAGTCATACTAATTCATACTAAGTCTAGAATGGTTTGGCAAGTCTAGATTGCCTCAGCTTTAGGCCCGAAATTATGGATAATTCTGGACTCAATTTGGATTTGTTTTGTAGATAAATATTTATAAATTTTGAATAAGATAGCATTATTTGTGGGACTAAATATCAAACCATTTATCTGTATGTATCTCCTTCTATATGTTTATGTATCTCACCCAAAGTCCAAGCATCATTTTGTATCAAATCTGCCCTCTCCTGTCATCCTGTCATCCTGACAATTTGTCACTACCTATCATGTTCTGAAATCATTGATTTTTGCCATGGCACTGATAGTGGTTGATAGGTTCTCCCTTATATAACTGGCAATAACCCTTGCATCTGTTAATGGAATTGGCTCTACAGTTACATCGTCATCAAGGTTATAGGAACATAATGTCATAATGGGCTCAGCAATACACAGGTTGTGGTTGGGAATAAGACCTTTGCATGTTCAGTCACAGATTCGACTCAAAAGAAGTTTAAAAATACACACTTTATTTTCATATGACTAGTTTATGACATGACTGATTAACTGATGATGGGAAGAATATAGGGTGTTTAAAGAGGTTTGGGGCAGTAAGGTAGCCTGGTGGTTAAAGCGTTCAATAGTCATGCCGAAGACTATTGAAAAAATACACACTTCTATTTTCATATGACTAGTTTATGACATGACTGATTAACTGATCTTGGGAAGAATATAGGGTGTTTAAAGCGGTTTGGGGCAGTTAGGTAGCCTGGTGGTTAAAGCGTTCAATAGTCATGCCGAAGATCCAGGTTCGAGTCCCCACATGAGTACAATGTGTGAAGCCCATTTCTAGTGTCTCTGCGATGATATTGTTGGAATATTGTTAAAAGCTCATAAAACCTAAAATCTCACACTCACTACACAACATATTCATTGGTTCATGATAAGAAATTTATGGTATACTGGACAAAAATAATTTGGGATCTATGTAACTTTTGAAATTATGAATAATGATCTATTTATTCATTGACACACTGATAAAATATCAATCATGAAAATACCAATGTCCCTAACTTATTTTGTCCAGTATATTTTTGCTTTGCCAACTAAATAACCTGACTTTAATCCCCATGACATATTGCGGTCTATTGCCACTTGACAGCAATGCTGCCCAAGCTGTGTCAAATTATAAATCACTCACTGATATTTTCTAGATATTCCATAAAATGAAATGCATTCATTAAAGTTATTTTGCACTTAAAACATAAGCTGTAGGGAATAATGTTTGACTTTTGCTATTTTGCTGATAATGTTTTATTAGACTTGCTGTATAAATAGTGTCGAATTGGAAGTAGTAATCCCCACGTAATGTAGTTGTATAATGATGGTAATAACAGCCTAACAACTACTAACTGATGTTCTTTTATTGATCACTTCCATATACTATTTCCCATTGACTAGTCTACACATCCTACTACTTACGAAACAAAGGAGGCATTCATGTAAGAAGAATTTCTTACTGTTTATACAGCACCATTGATTCTACATAACACTTCGTTATAACAAAGCTCAGTGTCGCAGATTTTCCATTCCTGCTTTTTGTGTCAACCTGCTGGCGGCCATATTGATTTTCTTGAATCCCAGCTAATACAGGGTTAGGTTAGGATGAGGCCAGAATGGCTTTTTTGTTTGTCACCAGTAAAAACATTGATTTTCTTGTAGAGATCAGATAGAATTTTCTGCTTGACCTACATTCTGTGTTTTTATTTCTGATTGTGCCACTAAATTTTGATCTGATGCAAGACACGAAAAATGGATGTGTAGCTTTAAGAGAGGAACGATCTTGTATTTGGCATTTTCAAAACTTCAAACGTTAATTCTGTGACAACTTTTAAGTTGATAAAATTATTGTTCATAATTTTCCTTAAAATAAAGGTTAATACATTTTCAAGACATGACTCTGCTGCGGGTTCCATCTAATTGTTCTGGTAATGAAATCAACAATCATGTGTGCGATGTGAGATGTTGACACTATCAGGCATTGCAGTGCCAGTGTGCTGGCCATGATCTGTACATTTTACCTTAAACTAATTACCTTGCACGGAACTGGAGCAACACCAGGCTGTGATGCCCCAAGACAAATGCCAAGCTTTGATAATCCAATAAAATGGTAACTAAAGTCTTTCCCTGGTCTTATTGCCGATAGAAAGCCATTTGACAACTTTCACACCATCTATGGGCCAAATATTAGTGTATTGATTTCTGAAGACTCACATATGATTGATTCTTAGGGCTATGCAAATGGTGTTTGTAGATTTGGTTTACATTATTCAGTTATAAGCCTCGAAAGTGTTTATGGACATACTTCACTAGATCACACTAATGGAAGATTTATTGAAAGCCTTAAAATCACTTGACATTTGACCCCTGACATTTAACCCTGATTTATCTCGGTCCAAACATGGGATCAATTTGTTTCAGTATATAATACTAACTGGCATATCTTTTGTGTATAAAGCTCATTTTCACCCCAAAAATAGTCACAATCTGTTGAAGGCTATATATATATAACAGATACAAGTTTTGTGCTGTTTTTGCCCCAGAAAGTTTTCAGATCAGTTAATTCATTACTCGCTGCCCAGGTGAGGTATTTGTGTACACATCAGGCATATACTCATACATGTGAGATTTGATGGATGTCAACTTCTATATTTTGCGGGACACAACATTTCAGAGTATATTATATATGTACCTGTGAAACAACAACAGTGATAAGATAACAAGGGAAGCCAATAGTTAATTAGCACTAAATTGGTACATTGCATGGACAAGTGGAACACAGGGATTATTAATCCAACTCTTGTGTGTCAATATTCAGGACGTTTTGAAGTTATTGTGTTTGGCATTTTCATGGCAACAAATGGTATTAGATCTTAAAACCATTAAATATTGGTGACGGGTTGGACAGACTGAGTTCAACAGAGTTCATTATGCAGCTTTAATCAAATAAACTAACACATCATCACACTTACAAGAGTTCAGAAGTTGTTCAAATTCTTTGTTTTTTTTGTTAAGGATTGTGAATTAGAATTAAGAAAATATTATGTGTAAAATTTGTGTCAAAGGAAAATCTTTTCAAAACAACAGTGAACATTCACTATTGTTAAGTGTTTAGTCATCAGTCACAAGCTTTACGATTAAATTTATTTGGTATGATGATATATAATTTTGTGATTGTGTTCTCATATCTAGAAGGAGTTATTGTACAGGAAATGGCCGATATATATTGTAGAATATGACCAGTCTTGGATGAATATTCATTACCCACACTGTTGGAATCCAGGAAAACCCTCATTCACCCTATTGTGCAGTGTTCACAATGTACGACACTGTTTCAAGATGTCTGCAGGGTTATTGCAGCAATTCCCACAATGTGTATAGTGTCTGCACATCTGTGAGGTGTGCAGTTAACGTGCATAGTGCAGACTACTTGAACCACAACTAGTGCGAGCCAGACGTATCCAGAAATATCTACAACAAAATGTCACAGTAGGCTTCTCAAAGTATGTACTGTCACCTGATACAGAAGAGTTGCAGAAAGACTTACTCAGTTTTTACTAAATGGTAAACCCTTACGTACTAATTGGCAAATGCAACGCCACAGAATTTTCCTATCTGTGTATGTGTGTGTGTATATGTGATGAATAACGATGAATATTCACTGATGCATTGGGGCAGTGGGGTAGCCTGATTGTAAAGCATCCGCTCGTCACTCTGACGGAAGACCTAGGTTCGATTCCCCACATGGGTACAATATGTGAAGCCCATTTCTTCCGTCTCCCACCATGATATTGCTGGAATATTGCTAAAAGTGGTGTGAAACCACACTCACTCACTCACTCACTCACTCACTCAATGATGCACTGATTATGCAAGAGAGTTATACAAGAGAGTTATACAAACATGTGAATGCATTAGTGTATATATATTCAGTGCAGGATTGAGTTGGTTTAATGCTGCTTAAGGAGTATTTCAGTTATTTCACAGTGTGTTAGCTTAATTTGGAGGAAAGCCCAGAGTACTGTAGGTGTTTACCACTTTGCTGAAACCCTCAAGTACAAGTATCATGCTGGCAAACCTAGAACCATTATCGGCTCAGATTCAGGCCCATGATCACAGGTTTCTGGTGCTCCCAGGGGAGGCAATTTTGCAAAAATAAATTGCAACACATTGCATGGCTGGGCCACGTTATAATTACATGTGTGTCATACAGGTTTCACATATCTAGGGGACGGTGGGGTAGTCTAGTGGTTAAAGCGTTCGCTCGTCATGCTGAAAACCAGGGTTCGATTCCCCACATGGGTACAATGTGTGAAGCCCATTTCTGGTGTCTCCCACCATGATATTGCTGTATTATTGCTAATAGCGGCGTAAAACCATACTCACTCACTCACTCACTCACTCAGAAAACCATAACTGTTGAATCATATCAACAATCTTCAGCTTTCACATCCTTTCAATGTCTCAATAACAGTTAACTGACATCAACAATGCTGCCTAGATGATGTCAACAATACACTGGTGTGCATGGATGGATATTTACACTAGTGTTCAGACATTGTTGTTATGTTGCAGGTGCTCCTTGACTTGTGTCAGAACCGACACTCCTGCCACCTGGTGGCCAGTGCTGACACCTTTGGCCAGGACCCATGTCCTGGAACATCCAAATACCTTGAGGTCGCCTACAAGTGTCATCCAAGTAAGTCTACCATAAAATCCAGTTCATTTCAGATGCAATGGGGATGCACATTTTACCCTATCAAAGACACATTTAATATGTGATTGAGATAAAGTTGTCAAAATTAAAAAAGATGTTTTTGAAATGTGACTGGGATAGAGTTGTCTCCCCTGAAACTGACTATGATACAGAGTTGTCTACCTTGAAGTCACATTTCAAATGTACATGGCTGTTATTTTCATGTTTCAGTTTAACTGTTGCTGTGTAATACAGAGTTAACAATTTAGCTGATTGTGCATTTGATTGTGCTTCAGTCATATGTTAGGGCACTGTTGGTGTGTTTCAAATGTGTATTCAGCAGATGAGATGTCAAGTGCTCAAGTCACGACATACATGTTCAAAATACTTCAGATCCATAATGACCTTAATGTCAACCATAAGCACATATTGAAATACATACATTTGGCCAGTTTGAACACCAGTTTCAGGTATTATATATTACTTACTAGTGTTGGGAATTGGTTAAAATCTCATAATTGATGATTGGTTCATTACAACCAATCAATCATCGAAAATAATTGGTTAGCGTCATTTATGAAATGTGTTAATGCACACAAAAAAAAAGGAAAAAAACATATATAATTTCACATCTTTAAAGGATGACTAGTATGGAGGAACATATATTCCTTAGAGTCTTTAAGATAAATTCAATCATGACTTGGAACGAGCTTGTAGTGCTTATGAAATGTAACAGACAAAACCAACCTAGTGAAAAATACTGTTAATGAAAACAAGTGTTCTAGAATTGTTTGTGTTCGATTATGAGAAAACATGATCGATTGCTTGGTCGTTTAGTCACTGCGACCAATCTTCGATTATTTCAATTAATCGGACCACCACTATTACTTATAATTACAATACAATAAAGAGGAAAAAGTGTTGAAGGGGAACTGCTGTTAAAATCATCCTTAATGGCTCAGTTGGAGCTGTTTTTCAAGAAAAATGTTAAATACAACAAAGATGTAAACAATGTTAAAATGTCACAGCCAGTTTAATAACAATAACAATGACATTGAAGTAGAACTGTTGTTAGATTCTTCCTTAATGGCTCAATTGGAGCTGTTTTTCAAGCTTACATGCATGCAAGCCTATGTATGTGACACCTTATAGGAAGTGGGATATTGACAATACACATAGCATACTTGAGTCAACGAGAGGATAGGAAGTCCCACCAGTCTGAAGGAGGGTGTCAGTTTCTACCACTTCACTGAAGAGGGTCCTGATAGAGCGGTTCCATTCTTCAATGGAGATTGCAGCCATCTCCGTCCCCTCTTGACAGGCCAGCAAGACAGGCTCTATTATTAACGAGTCAAGTGCAGTCTTATTCCTGTTGTTTTCAGTGTTGAGGTCACTGGATGTAGGTTTGGGAAATGTCGGTACCTTCGTCATGGGATTGTGTGGTCACTTGTCTAATCTGGTGCAACTTTAGAACAAATGTTGTATGGGTCATCAAGTAATCTGTGAAGGAAACGAATGATTTAATCTAGATTCAACCTACCTTGATAATAATGTTTAGTTTTACGCCATTAAAAGCAGTGTATATAACTCACCTAACTCACTCACTACCCTGCTCAAAACAGCACTCAGAGCCAATAAGTTCTCCCCTCATTGCTTAGTGAGTGAGTATGGTTTTACGCCACTTTTAGCAATATTCCACCAATATCACAGCGGGGAACATCAGAAATGGGCTTCACACACTGTACCCATGTGGGGAATTGAACCCAGGTCTCCGGTGTGACGAGTGAATGCTTTAACCACTAGGCTACTCCACCGCCCCTCCAGTGAATAGCACATCGTCACCTTGATCTGAAGAATGCATTCGTCTGGGATGACTTGGTAGCATAATGTTCATGTATCTGTTCATGAGCAGACTTGTGTTATGGTGACTGAAAGGCTGCAACAAACACTACTGTGAAGGACAGAACCAATCCAGAGTGTTGGACACTACTGTGAAACAAGGACAGAACCAATCCAGAGTGAGGACACTACTGTGAAACAAGGACAGAACCAATCCAGAGTGTCCAGACTACTGTGAAAAAAACAAGGACACTACTGTGAAACAAGGACAGAACCAATCCAGAGTGTGGACACTACTGTGAAACAAGGACAGAACCAATCCAGAGTGTGGACACTACTGTGAAACAAGGACAGAACCAATCCAGAGTGTGGACACTACTGTGAAACAAGGACAGAACCAATCCAGAGTGTGGACACTACTGTGAAACAAGGACAGAACCAATCCAGAGTGTGGACACTACTGTGAAACAAGGACAGAACCAATCCAGAGTGAGGACACTACTGTGAAACAAGGACAGAACCAATCCAGAGTGTGGACACTACTGTGAAACAAGGACAGAACCAATCCAGAGTGTGGACACTACTGTGAAACAAGGACAGAACCAATCCAGAGTGTGGACACTACTGTGAAACAAGGACAGAACCAATCCAGAGTGTGGACACTACTGTGAAACAAGGACAGAACCAATCCAGAGTGTGGACACTACTGTGAAACAAGGACAGAACCAATCCAGAGTGTGGACACTACTGTGAAACAAGGACAGAACCAATCCAGAGTGTGGACACTACTGTGAAACAAGGACAGAACCAATCCAGAGTGTGGACACTACTGTGAAGGACAGAACCAATCCAGAGTGAGGACACTACTGTGAAACAAGGACAGAACCAATCCAGAGTGCGGACACTACTGTGAAACAAGGACAGAACCAATCCAGAGTGTGGACACTACTGTGAAACAAGGACAGAACTAATCCAGAGTGTGGACACTACTGTGAAACAAGGACAGAACCAATCCAGAGTGAGGACACTACTGTGAAACAAGGACAGAACCAATCCAGAGTGTGGACACTACTGTGAAACAAGGACAGAACCAATCCAGAGTGTGGACACTACTGTGAAACAAGGACAGAACTAATCCAGAGTGCGGACACTACTGAAGGACAAGGACAGAACCAATCCAGAGTGAGGGACACTACTGTGAAACAAGGACAGAACCAACTACTGTGAAACAAGGACAGAACCAATCCAGAGTGTGGACACTACTGTGAAACAAGGACAGAACTAATCCAGAGTGTGGACACTACTGTGAAACAAGGACAGAACCAATCCAGAGTGTGGACACTACTGTGAAACAAGGACAGAACTAATCCAGAGTGTGGACACTACTGTGAAGGACAGAACCAATCCAGAGTGAGGACACTACTGTGAAACAAGGACAGAACCAATCCAGAGTGTGGACACTACTGTGAACTACTGTGAGGACAGAACCAATCCAGAGTGTGGACACTACTGTGAAACAAGGACAGAACCAATCCAGAGTGTGGGGGACACTACTGTGAAACAAGGACAGAACCAATCCAGAGTGTGGACACTACTGTGAAACAAGGACAGAACTAATCCAGAGTGGGACGTGTGGACACTACTGTGAAACAAGGACAGAACCAATCCAGAGTGTGGACACTACTGTGAAACAAGGACAGAACCAATCCAGAGTGTGGACACTACTGTGAAACAAGGACAGAACCAATCCAGAGTGTGGACACTACTGTGAAACAAGGACAGAACCAATCCAGAGTGTGGACACTACTGTGAAACAAGGACTACTGTGAAACAAGGACAGAACCAATCCAGAGTGTGGACACTACTGTGATAGAACTAATCCAGGTGGGACACTACTGTGAAACAATCTAGAACTAATCCAGAGTGGACACTACTGTGATGAACCAATCCAGAGTGTGGACACTACTGTGAAACAAGGACAGAACTAATCCAGAGTGTGGACACTACTGTGAAACAAGGACAGAACCAATCCAGAGTGTGGACACTACTGTGAAACAAGGACAGAACTAATCCAGAGTGTGGACACTACTGTGAAACAAGGACAGAACCAATCCAGAGTGTGGACAGGGTTGTGAAACAAGGATTTGATTCACTACTTGGAGCACATGATGAAGAACCAATCCAGAGTGTGGACACACTAGTTGTTAGTCTAAGCAGCCCCATGCAAATCGGGTTGATTTAACTTATTGTCTGAATTTGACAACCACTTCCACCACTGCAGCATTGACACCCTGAGTGGGACATTGTTCTAATACATGTGTTTCCTTAATTCTAGTTTCACATGAATTGCTAGATCACAATGATATGAGGTTTTTCCCTGATTGTGTACATCTCTATTAAAGGAAGACCATAAAAGACATATTAACGAGGTGGGTTTTCCATTTGATCAGGAATCAGGAAATATTTATACCAGGACTCTTCTGAAATGTGTTTATCACGTACTTCCTGGTTGTGTCCATGGTATTGACTGACAACTATAGGTGTAGGACAAGTGTGGCTTATGACACAGCAATGTTACACCTCTATAGGAAACCGATGTTGTAAACATTAGAAGTGATCCTAACTTTGATACAGTGAGACACAATCATAACTCTCACCCATGTTGGTCAACTATGTGGCACTATGTTGGTCAACTATGTGACACTATGTTGGTCAACTATGTGGCACTATGTTGGTCAACTATGTCTGTGGCACTATGTTGGTCAACTATGTGGCACTATGTTGGTCAAACTATGTGGCACTATGTTGGTCAACTGTGGCACTATGTTGGTCAACTCAATGTTGATCAACCATGTGGCACTATGTTGATCAACTATGTTATGGTCAACTATGTGGCACTATGTAAATGTTGGTCAACTATGTGGCACTTCTATGTGGCACTATATTGGTCATGTTCATATTGGTCAACTATGCAGCCTTGAATCCCAACATGGAGAATGATTTACATGACTGAATGTATTTGAATGAGTGGTGTTTATTTCGGTAATTTGTGTTATCAAATAAGTTTCTGAATTTGTTTTGTTTTACCACTGTCATACAAGGCTTTGGGAAAAAACGATTAAAAAAGTAGCATTCCGAAGTGAAATATTTGTCTCTAAGATTCC